GAATATCTGTCAAATGTTTGTGTAGACGAACTGTTCTGGGGAGAGAGAAAGTCGCATCACCATGCAAACCAACCTACCGAATGCTCAGCTCCACTATCCACTCTTCAACAGGTCGACACCTAACCCCTGACAAAAGTGTCGCCGAAGTACACAAACAGTTGCACAATTCTGTCGAGATAATAATCTCACATGATATGCTCCAAGTGTATCGGAGTCGAGTGAAAAACAGGTTTCCGGTGGTACGCTCGTCTCTCTCTCTCTCTCTCTCTCTCTCTCTCACTCTCTCTGTGCATTGCTCAACATTCAACGCTTCTCGTTGAATGAGTTCGTGTTAGAATTAACCGGACGGGAGCTCCTCAATTATTTCCACTGAGTCCAACTGACGATAGACTATGACGGTGCTGTTGACAGCTGGGTATATAATATCATCAGCTCCGGTGTTCCAATTGATTGATCGTCTTGTAAGTGGTTTAGTTGACTGGAGTCGATGCCTACTTGTATGTGAACTTGTGAGTTTCGAGTTGAACAGGGACGAGTGTGTTTCGTCACGGTTGGTGATCAGTAGTGACAGTTAGTAAGATTGGCACGACTGGAACATGATCTCAATTCGAAGTGGTTGCAAACACACTGCCTCCAGGGAGGATCGAACTCCCGACCCCTGGTTTACTAGACCAGTGCTCTATCCACTGAGCTATGGAGGCGCATCCGTGTGTCACCAACACCAAACTCATCACAATACAACTCACAAATATCCTACTACAAACACCTCCACACACACACACACACTCACACTCACACTCACACTCACACTCACACTCACACACAACATCACCTCAAAACAAACACAAACAATCCACGTCCTACAACTGACTCCATCCACTCTTACAAACACCACATTTATACATCAACAACAAACACCGACACCACAACTTCGACTACCACATAACTAGCACGACACCTGAAAATCACACATATTATCAAGTAACATCAACATATTCCCACTTACTACAGACACCTCCGAATCACACCAACCCATTCATTATCCTTATCAACGAACACCCCAACAATTCGCTCTATGCTTGGTCAATTGCTACAAATACATTCTGCACGTCTATATATCTATATCTATATAGATGGAAATATCTACACATATATTGATTCGTGTATATTTAGATACATGTATATACATTCATAACTACAAGATATTCTGTCCGTGTCAATTACTGCACGCATGAATATACTGAGGCTCTACTTGAATCATTTCACCACGATCTCTGACCATTTTGATTAGTCACAGTCACAGTAGGATAATAACAATCCGCAAATCCCATGTTCTAAAGACACGAGCAAATTCAGAACGAAATGCGTCACACCGAGCTCGCCAATTCATAGACAGACTGATATCTGACCATCGTCATGTGTCTCGTAATTCCACAACAAGTTGTCATGCTGCAACACAAGCCAACCTGAAACGGCTGCTCACATGACTAGCTCGTATTAGCGCATACGTTTCACACACTCACCTGAAACCCTAATCCTACCAGACACGGAAGATCACTGACGAACGTCTCATGCAGACCAGATGACGACGTGGTGGCGATCGGTGGAGAAGCCTGTGACGACTGATGTTCACTTCCTCCGTGGTCTATGCAGACCGTCTAAACTCTGTTTTACCAACAAGCCTCATCGGAACCTATCCATTTGTGTCGCGTGTGTCTGAGAATATCTGTCAAATGTTTGTGTAGACGAACTGTTCTGGGGAGAGAGAAAGTCGCATCACCATGCAAACCAACCTACCGAATGCTCAGCTCCACTATCCACTCTTCAACAGGTCGACACCTAACCCCTGACAAAAGTGTCGCCGAAGTACACAAACAGTTGCACAATTCTGTCGAGATAATAATCTCACATGATATGCTCCAAGTGTATCGGAGTCGAGTGAAAAACAGGTTTCCGGTGGTACGCTCGTCTCTCTCTCTCTCTCTCTATCTCTCTCACTCTCTCTGTGCATTGCTCAACATTCAACGCTTCTCGTTGAATGAGTTCGTGTTAGAATTAACCGGACGGGAGCTCCTCAATTATTTCCACTGAGTCCAACTGACGATAAACTATGACGGTGCTGTTGACAGCTGGGTATATAATATCATCAGCTCCGGTGTTCCAATTGATTGATCGTCTTGTAAGTGGTTTAGTTGACTGGAGTCGATGCCTACTTGTATGTGAACTTGTGAGTTTCGAGTTGAACAGGGACGAGTGTGTTTCGTCACGGTTGGTGATCAGTAGTGACAGTTAGTAAGATTGGCACGACTGGAACATGATCTCAATTCGAAGTGGTTGCAAACACACTGCCTCCAGGGAGGATCGAACTCCCGACCCCTGGTTTACTAGACCAGTGCTCTATCCACTGAGCTATGGAGGCGCATCCGTGTGTCACCAACACCAAACTCATCACAATACAACTCACAAATATCCTACTACAAACACCTCCACACACACACACACACACACACACACTCACACTCACACTCACACACAACATCACCTCAAAACAAACACAAACAATCCACGTCCTACAACTGACTCCATCCACTCTTACAAACACCACATTTATACATCAACAACAAACACCGACACCACAACTTCGACTACCACATAACTAGCACGACACCTGAAAATCACACATATTATCAAGTAACATCAACATATTCCCACTTACTACAGACACCTCCGAATCACACCAACCCATTCATTATCCTTATCAACGAACACCCCAACAATTCGCTCTATGCTTGGTCAATTGCTACAAATACATTCTGCACGTCTATATATCTATATCTATATAGATGGAAATATCTACACATATATTGATTCGTGTATATTTAGATACATGTATATACATTCATAACTACAAGATATTCTGTCCGTGTCAATTACTGCACGCATGAATATACTGAGGCTCTACTTGAATCATTTCACCACGATCTCTGACCATTTTGATTAGTCACAGTCACAGTAGGATAATAACAATCCGCAAATCCCATGTTCTAAAGACACGAGCAAATTCAGAACGAAATGCGTCACACCGAGCTCGCCAATTCATAGACAGACTGATATCTGACCATCGTCATGTGTCTCGCAATTCCACAACAAGTTGTCATGCTGCAACACAAGCCAACCTGAAACGGCTGCTCGCATGACTAGCTCGTATTAGCGCATACGTTTCACACACTCACCTGAAACCCTAATCCTACCAGACACGGAAGATCACTGACGAACGTCTCATGCAGACCAGACGACGACGTGGTGGCGATCGGTGGAGAAGCCTGTGACGACTGATGTTCACTTCCTCCGTGGTCTATGCAGACCGTCTAAACTCTGTTTTACCAACAAGCCTCATCGGAACCTATCCATTTGTGTCGCGTGTGTCTGAGAATATCTGTCAAATGTTTGTGTAGACGAACTGTTCTGGGGAGAGAGAAAGTCGCATCACCATGCAAACCAACCTACCGAATGCTCAGCTCCACTATCCACTCTTCAACAGGTCGACACCTAACCCCTGACAAAAGTGTCACCGAAGTACACAAACAGTTGCACAATTCTGTCGAGATAATAATCTCACATGATATGCTCCAAGTGTATCGGAGTCGAGTGAAAAACAGGTTTCCGGTGGTACGCTCGTCTCTCTCTCTCTCTCTCTATCTCTCTCACTCTCTCTGTGCATTGCTCAACATTCAACGCTTCTCGTTGAATGAGTTCGTGTTAGAATTAACCGGACGGGAGCTCCTCAATTATTTCCACTGAGTCCAACTGACGATAAACTATGACGGTGCTGTTGACAGCTGGGTATATAATATCATCAGCTCCGGTGTTCCAATTGATTGATCGTCTTGTAAGTGGTTTAGTTGACTGGAGTCGATGCCTACTTGTATGTGAACTTGTGAGTTTCGAGTTGAACAGGGACGAGTGTGTTTCGTCACGGTTGGTGATCAGTAGTGACAGTTAGTAAGATTGGCACGACTGGAACATGATCTCAATTCGAAGTGGTTGCAAACACACTGCCTCCAGGGAGGATCGAACTCCCGACCCCTGGTTTACTAGACCAGTGCTCTATCCACTGAGCTATGGAGGCGCATCCGTGTGTCACCAACACCAAACTCATCACAATACAACTCACAAATATCCTACTACAAACACCTCCACACACACACACACACACTCACACTCACACTCACACTCACACACAACATCACCTCAAAACAAACACAAACAATCCACGTCCTACAACTGACTCCATCCACTCTTACAAACACCACATTTATACATCAACAACAAACACCGACACCACAACTTCGACTACCACATAACTAGCACGACACCTGAAAATCACACATATTATCAAGTAACATCAACATATTCCCACTTACTACAGACACCTCCGAATCACACCAACCCATTCATTATCCTTATCAACGAACACCCCAACAATTCGCTCTATGCTTGGTCAATTGCTACAAATACATTCTGCACTTCTATATATCTATATCTATATAGATGGAAATATCTACACAAATATTGATTCGTGTATATTTAGATACATGTATATACATTCATAACTACAAGATATTCTGTCCGTGTCAATTACTGCACGCATGAATATACTGAGGCTCTACTTGAATCATTTCACCACGATCTCTGACCATTTTGATTAGTCACAGTCACAGTTGGATAATTGTAATCCGCTAATACCATATTTTTCGGACTCGAGTATTTTCTATTTCGTTTGTTTTCCAACGATATGAAGGCTTATTGTGCACTAATATTGTTAACGGTAACTGCACGTATTTGCTGTCCCTTTTTCATGCTTTCTTTTTTTTTCTTACTCCAATCGATCTGTTTTCCCAGCCAAATTTTTAGCAACCTTCCCAAACGTGTATCATCAATTTTCATGTTTTTTACTATTCATTATGGTAATTTTTTAAGATTACATTTTTCCACCCTACCTGTAGTTTTTCGCTGCCTGTTTTTCTTCTTCTAATTCTTTGCGAATTCGAACCATCTCCTGGTTAATTAGTTCTTCTTCCCGTCTTTCTTCTGCTTGCCTCATTTTTTCGTCCTATGTTCATTGAAAACAAATTAGTAGTAATTATTGGTGAATTTATTTAAAAAGTCCTATTTTTATATATATCTGCATACATGTAGAGAGAAAGTGAGAGTGTTTAAGAAATTTTCAATCTTTTCTATGCATGATTTTCTTTAAGACACAATGTTATACCTTGAAATTGTTTTCCCAAACATATTGACATATAGATCGATATTTTTTCATCATAGCTGCCTATCGAACCCATTGATAACGCCTTTGGTTGTAATCACAATACCAACGATTACCTTTCCTACATTTTACTGTAAATTTCCAAAAACCATCCAACCTGACGTCATCTTTCTTTTCTAGCCGAATCTAAATTCTTATTGGAGAGCGGCGTGAAGGAAATAAATTTGATGCAAAAATCACGCCTAATAAAAATGTTTCTTTCTAACACTTCACAATATTATCATAAAATTAAAAAAAACTTGGGTAAACATGTAATAAAGTGAAGAAGAAAAATCTGAGAAAACGCGGAACGAATAGATTTGTTGAGATTAGTTTAATTGGATAATAGTTATTGTTGTGAATATACACTAGCAAGAGAGATAACGGAGGCCACAGAGCACCTGATATCTGTTTATTCCACTGTGGGACTCATTGCCATTGTGTACCTGTGGCATGGCTTATAATTTAATTCTGGACCTTTAGACAACCACTAGTGACCTGTTCTATGACAAACTTCCGGATTTCGTACGGAAAATTTTGATTAGTGAAGTTCAATTTTGTCATGTATGAGGCGGATACCTTCCAACACTATTTGATGAATCCTGTACTACATCACCAACCAAAAACATGGATAGCTGAGTAATAATCCAAAAGTCTACATGTAACATGCTAACTGTGAAACCTAGAGTTCTGGAATTGAATCATCAGTTATCCAGTGTTTCCTAGCTGTTAGTCTATCTTCACCTCATTTAAATCCATAGCGTAAACTATCTTTAGATATAAGGTCATAAAATCTTCAAGATTTATAGGAGTGTAACGGATGGATGTGGATGAACTGTTCTGAAGTAATAAGAAACTACAAAACAAACTTCAGTCTATAACCTAATGATAAACAAGTTTTGATGTTTAGAACTAAATAAAACTGTGAAAAACATAAATGCTGTATAAACCTTTGAAATTATTTATTATGTTTATTAGCTGAACTATTTGTCATAAACCGCATGAAAGATGACAATAAATAAATTTCCACACATACATGCACAGAATAGTAAAAAATCAAAAGCGGTACATTGGGTTTTCTATAAGAGATAATTATAATATAAAAATGTATGATCAGAAATATATACCTGTTTTGCTTTGTACAAAATTTGTGCTTTTATTTGACGATTAGTAGCTTCAAGAATACGACGAGATTCTAATTCTTTTTGTCGTAGTTCACGTCGTGCTTTAGCCTCTTCTTGACGTAAGAGAATTTTTTCCAATGTAGACTGACGTTGGCGTGTATAATCAATGTGGGGTAAATCTAAGTCTTTAGAATTATGTTCTGTATAGTGATTATTTTTCAAGTGATTATCAACTTCATAGTCATCTGAAAACTTAAATTTCGAAAAACCAATGAAATTTATCAATCCATGGAACTATATCAACATTGTAGTAGTGTGAAATTTTCTTAAGCTAAACAGTATAGTGATAGAGATTTAAATGTCTATCTATACAATATAAAAGCATATATGCATCCTGTGAGGATTCTCTCGGTATCGCCATTAAGTCATAAGCATTTGTAGGCACAAATGGATGGTGGCTAGAAGTGGAATCCAGGATTTCCGTTTCGTTCTATTTGGGACTCGTCATCTGAGTATACTTGCATATCATTTGATACATAAAGCACTTTTGCGGAAACGACTATTCGATCTCAATCAAAGCCGTCGCAAATTGGTTTAGTCTTTTCTTTTTACTATCATCTTGAGTTATGAAAAAGTATTTAAAGAAATATAATATTAACTTAGATATAACTACAGATATAATCATCAAAACCATCCACTTGAGCTACAAATCTTCTCCACCATCTCAATAACTAAGGTATAAAAATTATGTCTTTAGTCAACTTGTTTACTCCTGGAGAAGACAGATATTGTTGACCAGAACTAACATTTCTTTGAAGTTCATTACTAATGAATCAGTCGGTCAATTATTCGTAACGGAGAACCTGACATATTTGTGCATTAGTTCAAGTTGTCACACTACGTTAGCACAGAAAAATGAAATTATCAGTAAAAATAGCATAGTAGTAGAAACAGAAAAAATGTCAGTGGTGATAGAGAAAATTAGCTAATTCCTTGAATAAAAAAAGAATACAAGATGATTTTGGAACTAAGGATCTAAAGGTAGACAAAGAGTGAATTCATTTTCACTATTGTAACCGATTCGGCTCTATGTTACACAGCGTCTCCAACTATTGGTTTCCATAATCAATCGGGCGATGACCATCTAGTCTAGACCTACCAACACGATTAGGCCCAACTTCCAATGACTTCATGGATTGATGTCACGTTTTGGTTTGCCCACCCTTAGATCTCTTTCTATTAATTAATCACCAATCTATCCTTGTACTCATAACTTTACAGATATTTAATGAACAGTGGTATATACCACTGATAACCAAGGAAGCAAAACATTAAGTATACGAACGAAGAAGTAATTGTTATTACGTCCCTAATGCATTGAATTAAGGTCCCGTTATTTAATGTTTGAACTGGAAAAATAGTATTAGCCCTTTTTTCATTGATCTATGTAAAACAAAACTGATTCAATGAAGAAGAAAAAAATTTACGGATAAAACAGACACGTGTTTGTAATGAAACAACATGATATGTTGCTAGTGGTAGTGATGCGCACAGAGACAATGATGAAAATAAATTTGATTAAGAATATATCAAAATCTGGATTGACGAGATTCTAAGAATGCTTTGGAATTTTTAGTGGGTCAGTATTCATATCAATTTGTTATAAACTGACGTATCGCGACATAGATCTGATTTATCAATCTGTACGGAAAAGATATGACAATCACATGAACGAGAGAGTTGGAGGGAACGCAAAAGTCTATACAGATAAAAAAAATCTATGGTTAGAACTGGTCACAAATATTAGCATCAGGATGGACTGATTAAGCGCTCGCGAAAAAGGTGTAGAGAATCTCAGTTCTACGACAGGAGAGGCTAATAATGATATACAGAACGAAAATAAAAACTTCTCATCCAGATCGAAGAACATATGTTTCAGAAGCAACCATTTGATAAATAAATCGTGAGCATCGTTTCAATGGATCAAAGTATCTTTTATGAACAGCGTACGCATGTCAATGAAAGATTTTATATGAAGTCTGATGACTCTATTCACTCTCCGTGATCATATTAGATGCATTAACATTCGCATATATGATAACTATAAACAAAAGTTTTACAGAATTCCAGTAATATGCAGATATTTAAAATTAAGAATAACTAAATCTAAAATATGTTAGGATGTGAATCATAGATTTTTTGGTTGAATAATAAAGCTTTTATACTCTCACAACTTACGTCATTCTTCAGATTGTTATCTTTAAATAGATGGTCCCATTCTCTTTTAATTTCTTTTCGACTAGGAGTAATTGGCTTAAAATCATCAGTCCCGCTATCTAAATCTTCAATGTCCAAAGTATTTTTAATCATCCATTCATTCAATAAGCTACGGGCTTCTGCATAAACTATAAAATTTAGTTAATTGAACTAAGGTATGCTAAAACAAAAATTACCATTGAAAGTATTCAGTTGATTTGATTTGTTGAAATGTCCAGAATACATCTGATGACTTGGAAGATTCTGAAGAGTGAAGTAATTGTCAATCAAAAAGAATGACTTTAGCTTACTTTGGAAGAGTGATTTTGATCAAAGATATCGATTCAATGTATGAAATCACTTTTTTTCACTGATCAACAAGTTAAATTAAAACATGAAAGAAGCAAGAGTCTGAAATAAATTGAAAAAGAGATTGGAAATATATAGATCCAATAAAAAACACACACTGAAACTATGTATAACATAGTAGTCAGTATCTGAAATGTTCACATGAAGAAAGTTAAGAAATAATCATATAACCTTTAAAAAAAATCCATCTAGCAACTTACATTTTAATCAGCTTATACTGATCAATATTTATGAAATACTTAATGGAAACAGTATGATTGAAAATGTATAATAGTTACAAACTTAAGAGGAACAACTCATATGCTTTTTTTGTTTTACAGTTTATTAAAACTTTAGTACAGAAATGATGGATTTCTCTTTAATAAACAGGTCATATTATAGTGGATAGAACACGAGTAAGGACAATCGAATGTATTTAACACAAAATTACAAGACTTGTTAATAAAATCTAACAATCATAAAGTAAATGCTTAATTTGCAAAATGTTCATCAATTGTGTCAAAATAACTCAGACTTCATTGTTCTTGCATTCTCATACAAATTGCATCTTGTTTCCATTATTTACTGTTCGATCCTCTTGTCTCTCTCTGCTTCCAGACCTTCTGTTCACGACTAACATCATCTACTACTTATGTCAATATAAGTAGCACACACCACAATATAAGTAGATATGAAAAAAGTTATATTGATAAACTTGATTTAATCCAAAAAGATCCATGATTGGAATTATCAAAGGTTTCACTGATGCTAAAGTATTAAAATAGTTTTATACTTTCTTCGTTCATTTAGTAAGGGAATCTGACACTTATAAAATACATGCAATAATTATGAATCTATTCTTACTGACTAATGTTCATGATATTATTTTTCTTTCTTTCTGTACTCTCCTCATTAAAAAAATCATTAAACTAGAACCTACCATTTCTTCTCATGTAAATACTTCGATTTTTCAGTGGTATTTAATACACTAAATGAAATCATGGAACTCTAAATCTGATCATATATTAATCATCTAGGATTTCACACTAAAAAGACCACAGATTGATTGTTTTATAGTTATTCTAGAAGTAGAAACATTGTTTCACACTGAAAACCATAACTTTATCTTTAAATCATGTATTATACTACTTATTAGGGTTTTGCATCTTGAGTCCAAGTTGTGATATGTATTGGTAAATATTATTTTAAGTTTTTTTTAATATGATGGGGACAATCTTTCTGTAAATATGACAAGCTACTTAAATAATGTGATAGTAGCATCGAGGTTTTATAATTTTCAAACAGGCATTTAGCTTTTGTCATTCAGCTTTAATGATTTATGATGGAACAGAACTAAATAAAACTTGCTAAATTAATTTTTCTTATTATGTGACTAAATATCATGACAGAGTCACAAATAAACATTTTCCTGTTATCCTTGATTAAACCCAGCCGTAGAAGTAAAATTGTACTTGGTGACTATTACAAATAGCTAGACAGGATGCAAATGAAAGTCTTTACTAAAACACCTAGATTTTTGTCAAAACTAAATTGCATAGTGGAATAAAATTCTCGGCAGTAAAAATTAAACACCGAAAATGTACAACCCTTGAATGTTACAAGCAACTAGTCATTCTTTGTTCATGTATAATGTAGGTAATGTTGATGGCTCAGAATTACAGAAGTTATAGAAATGAATACACTTAGAATATCTGCTAAAGTCTCATCCAACTTGGACGTTAAGGAGTATGAAATTTCACTATTAAATGATAAAGAATGATTCTAACAACCGCTACCTGTGACAAGAAAAGAACTATAAATAACATTTTTCGACTTATTATCCGAAATTCTGTCAAATGAGGAATTTACTCTTGTAAGCTAACCATAGTGTTACGATTTCATCATAATCAGCGCGTGTTGTATGGTTATATAAATGAATTTAGAATACATTCACACATTGTATTTTGGGAAAACAAGTAATATAGTGCTTTCAGGTGTAGTAAAGCAACAAAAAGGGATGACGTATATAATTAACGACTAATGATGTAATACATATACATTCGGTTAAAGGAGATCGAATTTTCCACTGCCAAGTATTTATTTAGTCTCCGTTATCTTTATGCACCAAACACTGAGAGATTGAACTAATATAATGCTTGTCAAGTGAGAGAAATATTATAGTTGAGAATTATGATCGTTGAATACTATTCAAAACAGCAGTAATCTGAATGAATGAACTATTTTAACAGTAGATAACGTGGTAATAGCAAAACGTATTATAATTGGTAATGTATCACTCTCATATATAGTATGTAAAATGAAACAGTTTCCACCACTGAATTTGATGGCACAGTAATAACTTGCTTTTTGTATTGATAAGAATACAACTCAGTAACATATCGTAACGTTCCAGGACATTTTAAGTGATAATAACATAAATGCTCCAACTATACAGACAATTGATTGGTCACAATCGGCCCGTCGTTTCTATTTAAAACATTGCACTTAGCCTCAGAATTTCTTAATAAGTGGTTTCATCTTATACGAGCAACACTTCGAAGACATCTGCAATTAAAAAATTTACACCATTTCGGCATGGTTTGATTATTCCATTATTGAGCCGGTGCACGTAATCATTAAGTTAAACATTGTACTGCAGTAGTGCCTAAAGTTAGTTTTTATTAGTAACAAATGATTATTTGAGGACAGAACGAAAGCCTTAAAGCTAAAACTAAGTTTTTCCCCCAAATTTAGTTTAACTTTATGACCGATAGCATTGCCCTTGGTGCCACCAACTACTTAAATCAAATTAGAGAACCTCCGAGCTTAACTGATTTTTTGGTCGATCCACATTTCAAGCTTAGAAATTATGAGCACAGACTATAAGCGGGCAAAAGTATAAACTTCCTATCTTCCGAGATTTTTAGTTCCGAGCGACACAGAACTAAAATACAGTTCACTGCACCTTGTTCTGCACTGAAAAAGTGACGCTGTTGTACTGTTAGTAACAAAATAAGACATATCAGTCGAGTTTTCAGATGAGCATAGGGTGAACAGTGCTAATCTTCTACACTGGCTATATTGGTTTAGTGAGTAATCAAACTCGATTTATGTGAACGGGTTTCAGGGACACGTAAATTATTTATGTACTGATACTTTATGACCTTATTCAACAAAGTCTGTCGTTGATTGTGACACAAAAGCTGGATATTGAAAGCTCCAAAATGTTGCCTACAGCGTGGTCCTAGAAACCATTGATGATATTTTTAAAAATCTAATTCTTCGTACTAGTGTTGTATGAGATAGAATATAAGGCTAAAAATAGAGTTCAATAATACGAACAAACGAGACTTTAGGAAGAGGAGTGAATCGCTTTTGACACACCTGAGCGATGATAAAAATGTGTAAATAATCGGACCTTATACTGCCAGCATGATTAAGTAGTGTTTCTTCTAGAGGAATCTGACAAAGAAATAGGGTTAGCACTGACGGTTTTACAAGCTATAAGGTATATCTACGGACCGTGAAAAACAATTACTGGGGTCAGTCACACATATAGTTTGTGAGTGTCTATCATGTCTATACTTTTTCAGCCGTAAAAAATCCATGTAGCAATAAATGGTGTGATTCGTTAGTTCTGAGATTTTCTGACCTTATCTTTGTTATCTGGACAAGCAGGAGCTCTGTTGAAGCTATATAATACTTCGAGTGAGTACACCCTTACCTTTTAGACCGTAAATCTGTTATGTTCTGTCCGACTATCTCACATTCATCCTGTTTTGTGTTGAAGTGCACCAATAAACATAATTTTCATCCAAATTAATCCAAGCAAATCTTCATAAATGGAAAGGATGTATGCCTCCGCCTCTGCCTCCGCCTGGAGTCCCTCCGGGGGCTACTGCCGGTCCCAAGCCCGGATAAAGGAGGAGGGTTGGGCATGGGGTTAGCGTCCCCATCCCGTAGAAAACTAACTCGCTAAAAAAACGCTAACCAGAAAAAATTATTCAAACCTTTTAAACTCTGCCCTGGGAGTCAGAAGGTCTTCATTTAGAAGAATTATGACGCCTCATGATGAAAGCCGAATTCCTTCGGAAGTTACGAGGCCGATGCCCCTTCTGACAACCAGAGCGACCATTTATTTAGGTACATGGAATGTTCGTACAATGTGGGACACCGGAAGATCCTTCCAAATTGCTGCAGAAATGAGAAGATACAACCTAGAGGTACTTGGGATCAGTGAAACGCATTGGACACAAGTTGGACAACAACGACTAACTACAGGAGAGCTCCTGTTATACTCCGGCCATGAAGAAGAAAATGCACCACATACACAAGGAGTTGCATTGATGCTGTCCAAACAAGCACAAAATGCACTTATAGGATGGGAATCTCATGGACCAAGGATCATCAAAGCCTCGTTTAAAACAAAGAAAGAGGGCATTTCAATGAACATCATCCAATGCTATGCGCCTACCAACGACTACAATGAAGACGCTAAAGATCAATTCTACAATAGACTGCAGTCAATCGTCGAAAAGTGCCCAACAAAGGACCTGACTATTCTGATGGGAGATTTCAACGCCAAGGTTGGAACTGACAACACTGGATATGAAGACATCATGGGACGACACGGACTGGGAGAAAGAAACGAAAATGGTGAGAGATTTGCAAATCTATGTGCCTTCAATAAGCTGGTCATAGGCGGCACCATATTCCCACATAAACGCATACACAAAACCACATGGACTTCACCGGATCACTCTACACAAAACCAAATCGACCATATTTGCATCAACAAAACGTTCAGGAGGACTATAGAGGACGTGAGAACCAAGAGAGGAGCTGATATAGCATCAGATCATCACTTACTGGTCGCCGAGATGAAATTGAAACTCAAGAAGCACTGGACAACGGGGCGGACAATATCACAAAAGTTCAATACGGCCTTTCTCCAGGATACTAACAAACTCAACAAATTCAAGATAGTCCTCAGCAACAAGTTCCAGGCCTTTCATGATCTACTCAATGGAAAAGGAACTACTGTGGAGAGCAACTGGAAGGGGATCAAAGAGGCAATCACTTCAACATGTCATGAGGTCCTGGGTCACAAGAAGCACCACCACAAGGAATGGATCACTGTTGATACACTGGATAAGATTCAAGAAAGGAGGAACAAGAAGGCAGCGATCAATACCAGCCGAACAAGAGCAGAAAAAGCTAAGGCACAAGCTGAATACACAGAAGTGAACAAACAAGTGAAAAGGAGCATCAGAACTGACAAACGTAAATATGTGGAAGATTTAGCAACGACGGCGGAAAAGGCTGCAAGAGAAGGAAACATGAGACAACTGTATGACACGACAAAGAAACTCTCTGGAAATCGCCGCAAACCAGAACGACCAGTGAAAAGCAAGGAAGGCAAGGTAATCACCAACATTGAAGAACAACAAAACAGGTGGGTAGAACACTTCAAAGAACTCTTGAATCGACCAGCTCCACTGAACCCACCCAACATCGAAGCAGCACCCACGGACCTCCCAATCAATGTTGGCCCACCAACAATTGAAGAAATCAGCATGGCCATCAGACAAATCAAGAGTGGCAAAGCAGCAGGACCGGACAACATCCCAGCAGAGGCACTAAAAGCAGACGTAGCGGCAACTGCAAGGATACTCCACATTCTCTTCAATAAGATTTGGGATGAGGAACAAGTACCAAAAGACTGGAAAGAAGGACTTCTGATCAAAATACCGAAGAAAGGCGATCTCAGCAAGTGTGATAACTACAGGGGCATCACTCTTCTCTCAATACCGGGAAAAGTCTTCAACAGGGTATTGTTAAACAGGATGAAGGACTGCGTAGACGCCCAACTTCGTGACCAACAGGCAGGATTCCGTAAGGATAGATCGTGTATAGACCAAATCGCAACTCTACGGATCATTGTGGAACAATCAATTGAATGGAACTCATCACTCTACATCAACTTCATTGACTACGAAAAGGCATTTGATAGCGTGGACAGACCAACACTATGGAAACTTCTTCGACACTACGGCGTGCCTCAGAAGATAGTCAATATCATACAGAACTCATATGATGGATTACACTGCAAAATCGTGCATGGAGGACAGTTGACAAAGTCGTTCAAAGTGAAGACCGGTGTTAGGCAAGGTTGCTTACTCTCACCCTTTCTCTTTCTCCTGGTGATCGACTGGATCATGAAGACGTCAACGTCTGAAGGGAAGCGCGGGATACAATGGACATCTAAGATGCAGTTGGACGATCTAGACTTCGCAGATGATCTGGCCCTTCTATCCCACACGCAACAACAGATGCAGGAGAAGACAAACAGTGTGGCAGCAGCCTCAGCAACAGTAGGTCTCAATATGCACAAAGGGAAAAGCAGGATTCTCCGATACAACACAGAATGCACCAATCCAATCACAATTGACGGAGAAGATTTGGAAGATGTAAACACCTTTACATATTTGGGCAGCATCATTGATGAACAGGGTGGATCTGATGCACATGTGAAGGCGCGGATCGGCAAAGCAAGAGCAGTATATTTACAACTGAAGGACATCTGGAACTCAAAACAACTGTCAACCAACACCAAAGTCAGGATTTTCAATACAAATGTCAAGACAGTTCTACTGTATGGGGCAGAAACCTGGAGAACTACAAAAGCCATCATGCAGAAAATACAGGTGTTTATTAACAATTGTCTACGCAAAATACTTCAGATCCATTGGCCGGACACTATTAGCAACAACGTACTGTGGGAGAGAACAAACCAGATCCCAGCGGAGGAAGAAATCAGGAAGAAGCGCTGGAAGTGGATAGGACACACATTGAGGAAAGCACCCAACTGCGTCACAAGACAAGCTCTCACATGGAATCCTGAAGGTCAACGGAAAAGAGGAAGACCAAAGAACACATTACGCCGAGAACTGGAGATGGACATGAGAAAAATGAACAAGAATTGGATGGAATTAGAAAAAAAGGCCCAGGACAGAGTGGGTTGGAGAATGCTGGTCAGCGGCCTATGCTCTATTGGGAGTAACAGGCGTAAATAAGTAAGTAAGTATGTATGCCATTTCAAAATAATAGTTACCTGAGAGTTATGCTTGCATACGCAACCCAAATCAGGAGTTAGTGACCTCATGGACTAGCCTTGCTTAAATCTCGTTAGTTGTTTTCAATCCCAGTAATATTTCAAATAACTTTTGCGACACAATATCTGACCCCGGTTTGATCGTGGGAAGATACCGTCAACATCAATCTTCCACTCAACTCCGAATTTTACCTGGGGTAACTACGTATATGTGGCGGAGGTAATAAGAAGCCAAATACGGGTTTTGTTGGATGAATTTACTTCAAGAACTCAGGCAGACATACCGAATAAGATGCAGAGTAAAGAGGATGAGTTATCCAAATTCACTTGATCAAGCATGCCTCGGTATTTATAGTCAGACAAAATAAGCTACAGATATGTGGTGAGTAGGATAAGCCATACACATATATACGCAGATACAAAAAACAGTCAGGGTTAATAAACGTATAATCAACAAGGCCAAAATGTGGCTCAAGAATAATGAATAAGTCAATCTGTCCTGAATCCATAATAACCCATGTGCACTTAACATAGTACTAGATACTACAAACCTTAGTGACTGCCAAAAAAAGGAAATGTTTTCACTATGAAAAACTGTGCGACGGGTAGAAACAAATAAGATGTATTTTAGGCTATTTGGCAAAACGTTAAGTATTTTTCGCTGAAGATTTATGAAACGGCTCTACTTTATCACAAGCTCAACGAAAACCAATAAAAATTTTGCCTTTGATCATCGGATACATATGTATCTTAATAGGTATAGCAAATTGTTTACACAGCCGCGTGACATATAAAAACGGAACAGACTTTTGAAACCTAGAAGCTTCTCCAACCACTATCACGCTATTTGCATAAGATCTAACCGAGTAAAGGAAATTTGAATATTGTTGATGTCATTTGTGTCTTAATGTCTCCTGAAATAAGGTTGTCTATCCTATTACTAATACTATCACATGCAAAGAACCTTCCTTTCAAGATAAGTCTAAAACTTTTCACGTTAACTTAAGCCTTGAACTTATTTACTCAACTTCTATTTGAAGTAGTTCAGCCATCGAAATCATAAACGTAGAAGTGTCTTGTTCAAAAGGGCGTTATAAAGACCTATATCAAATAAGCATCCAGTTGGCTTCATGAGTCGTTGATCCATCCATTCAAACCAATTTAAAGAATGTATTTTGCCGTTGATAAAAATAATTTGTTGAGTTACTTTATCACTAATTTCCCTAAAGTACATGTACACTTTTAAAGTTATTGGTTTGGATAAAAAGACGTTACAACAGAAATCCATAACTTGATGAAATCCTACAGGTATAATATTAAATATTTTCCGTGACAAGAAACGATTAGAGTAAAAAAGAAATTAGTGTGGCGCAAACGCAAATAGGAAACTCAGGTAGTCGTGGTGCTCTCATTTTTCTAGGGGACAATAAATACTTAGGTTCATAATAAGATAATAGTGATTCCTTGAATTCTCTTCAGTTTTCGCCCCGATTTTGATACTGTTGTCGAATTTTGTCATAATTTACGATAAAGAGTGTCTTTCGCGTAAACAGAGTTTCGAAAATGCTGAATAATTTATATTTTCTCGGTTACCATATGAATTTCTACAGGTTGACTGCATTCTCCCAAAGTTTGTCGCCTGAGTATTCCTGGCCTCAACTTATGAAGGTATTATGCGGCATCAAATTTATACAAACAATTAAGTTCGAAATAATGAGTAAACTCAAAAAGTTAGATGATACGTTTATTCAAATATCAGAACACTCTCTACTATCTACGAAAAAGTTTAAAAAGCCAAGTGCATGGTTACATTACTTTCTTAAAAATTAAAAAGGCAGGAATAAACAACATCAAAACCTTCTGATAAAGATTCTCTGTCAAATGACCTTATAATTCATTACAACTGAGTAACCCGCTATGTAAATTGTATCATATTAGCGCCTTATATATAACTGAGATACCGAGGTTGATGAAAAAACTAAAACAAAATGTCAACATTTGTGGTTAAAGGATAACGATGAGTTTTTTAAATTACTACTAGTCGATCCTTAAATATCAGGAAAACATTCAAACTCAACTGGATAGTTTACAGTTTAAAGTTAAATCTTGAGCGGAAATTTGGGACTGTTAAATTCCGAGATCCCTCATCCAAGTCCTAAAGACTGAAAAAAGTGCCAAATCTCATAGTCAGAGAGTCATAAAAGGCTGGCAGCGATGAATATTTGCAAATCTCAACTGCATAATTGAACAGTATACAAACATTCTGCAGAGAAGATTCTAAGGTCGTGTACTTAATTTATATTTTAAGGCAACCGTTGGTAGTGAATGACTTGAGGAATATTCGCGCTCTATACAGAATGCAATGGTTTGTTTTATTGGACAAACCCTTAGTCCAGCTTCAATTTTAGTCGTACACTGCCTGATAGTCAGTAATCATCAAATGAGAAATCATTAGAGAGTCGGCCAAGAGTACTAAGATGTTGATTTTGAACTCTGTTTCAGACCATGGAGAAGAAATGTTAGTAGAATTTAGTTCAGATATGAGGAAAGCTTTTAGCTACATTTTCGTATGCAAACTCTAAAGTCCATAACGCCTATGAGCGAAGTACAATTAACAATTTTAATACATATAACAGCAAGTCTGACTATATTTCAGTTGCACTGGCGAGAAACTGTAATCCCCTGTCAGTGAGTAGCTAATATGTAATTACATGGTTGCTGGTGAATTTTAGGGGAGAAATTATACAGATTCCACGTTCAGAGGAATAAGCCAGAGTAAATGAATTAAATTTTAGGATAACGACTCACACAGCAGATTTATTAAGACAAAGAAAGTCCAAACCAAATACTTTGTAGCGGTAAATAAATCCCCAAAATAAATAGCTCTGTGGGTTTTCGACATTGGATGCTGACCATATGTTTTAGTGGACTTGTAGAACTATGGTCTACTATGATATTAGTACTGCTCTAATAATAGACCTAATCCCAAAATTGTAGATTCGTCATGATATAACTGCCTAATCTATAAGATCTTACGTGGAAGTCACACCATCGACTACACCAACTCACTGTATCGTATCAATTACCAATACATGATGTAGAACAAGGTTAGGCTAGAGAAGGAACAATATATTTAATATTAATAGAAGATATAAGGTAACATTCAGATGAACCACGCCTGCATGATCGAGCCATGCCATCCGATCAACTCCAGTCCATTTAATTCATTGTTCGCGCTTACTCCATTGTTAGGTATTTCTCCGCGTTAAATGTTGAATATCTATTTCCTGAGTAGTCTCGTGTTCACAGCTTTGTGGATTGTGTGGCTATTGTCCAATGCCACTACACTACTCTCCCACCAGAATCAACGTGATGTTGGTTCGATACCAAATTGGATGGGATCGTCGCGCGCCGGAGGTTACCAAGGATAATAAGAATCCTCCGGGTATTGGTAAGCTGAAAGATAAATGAAAAAGAAGGCGGCAGCATCTGGTCGGGAAATACATGTAATAATTTTAAAATATCTGCCTTCATGCTTAAAACGCTTGAAATGAAAATTTGGGTGAAGATTATTTGAGCTATAAAGAATGGGGTTACAATAATAAAAATAATAATAATGAAACGATGCGTGTTAATAGCCGTTGGTTAATAACTTAACGTATAGGTAGTAAGTATTTTGTGTTTAGAAATATTAAAGTGATGAATATTGTGGAAATGTTAATATTGGTATTAGTTTTGGTTTAAATTATGAAATCAAATAACGATTATGCCGGTAAGTTGTCCATATAAGTTGAATTCCAATTGCATCTGTATTAGTAGGCTAACTGAAGGAACAAAAGTATACCGTGGAGAAGAATTCCAACTAGTGTTCCAGTTAGTTTGATACGATTTATTTAGTTACGAGGAAATTTTCTCAACCTCATTTTTACTTGACCGTGATAGAATTTAGTAATACTACTAATACACATGAATGGTTATCAAAACAATATTTAAATACGTGAGTGATAATTATGTGAATTTTGGACAGATGAGTGTATTCGTAAGAGACATGCTCTAGACTCAATGTTCTGAGTTGCCATAGACTATTTATACATATTTATACCTGACCGCTGACGATGCATACAAGTTAGTTGCAAGTATGCAGTTTATCATAAGGCGGAATACGATTCAATTGAGATATAGTGATTATAAGTTACTGAAATCAGTTAAGCCTATATACTACATTACTAGGTGATATGCTGCAAGATGTATTCAGCTAAATAAGTTTTTACAAGACAATTAACAGTGAGTGACGCTCATGTGATTACCAGGGAGGAAACAAGTTGTAGCCAAGGGGAGTACACTCCCAACTCATGTCTATGATAATGGCTTGAACCTTAGTCAGTGTTGGGGTAAATTCGACATTGATGTTTTCAGTTTGCAGGAGATTTGCTCGACTGCTTATACTGATTTTTTTGCGTGCATGATTGTGTCGCTAAACCTCCAATTAGACTGACAAGGTTTTGAGATATTTGCTGAATAAGCAACTGATAGCGAAACATACTGTAATCATCTGTAGTGAATGAAGATAAAAGAAAAACAACACTGGTGATAATTATAAGTCGATTTGATGACCGGTTATGTTAATAGTTTCATTAATATTATCAATCATATTACGTGATTGTCAAGTCATGACAATGCTTTATGACGATATCCTGAAACTATTATGTTAAAATAGTTATAGTGTTGATTGAGGATTAGCCAGTGGAAAAAGAGATATTTTTGCTTTAGGTATTTCAAAATTATCAGAAATTTGTAGTGTTACAGAATCCGAGACGCCTAATTATATTATAATTTTCAATTCAGAAATACTCGTCTAGTGTTAATTCTAGTAGGCTACGGAGTTTTGATTTTAAACGTTTGTTTAGCCAACAGCTACCTGAGGATTTAGTTATTTTACTAGTGCAGTTGATAGTACCTAAATTTTTAATCTTATTATCTAAACTACGTCCGCATTTTAGGCTGCTAATATGATAAACCAATCCATAAACCCAAATACGATTAGCAACAACGACTATGATGGGTTTATTGATAAATGTTAAAGGCGATCCAAATGATTTCTAAATTTAGAAGACATGGAGATATAGTGTAACGTATGTATCGGCCAGGTTAACATGCAGGTTGTTGACGTATATGACGATTTAAAAATAATGAACATGACCAGAAAATAATTTTAAAGTTTAGACTGCTTGTGAAACTTCAGGCAGGAATATGATGCGTTATAAACATTCCATAAGAAGTTACTGCATTTAGCCTAGGGACACTTACAAATATATAGCAAGAGGAACCGGAAAACATATACATGTTAAGTAAAAAAATCATTAAGTAAAATAGTTGAATTCGCCTGGGTTATTTTTGAAAATTAGATTATTCAGTGGACGACATATATAACGCCATTCGTGAGGAGTAGTAATGATCCAAAAGCATCCAGAATAAAACATGCAGCATGGCAATTAATTCCAGGGTGCTTGATGCTATTGACGTTTTTGCCACTCGCTCGGATCAGAACAATCGAATGAATCCAGATAATTGTGTGGTTGCCATTGAACGAGTCATATAAAATGACTTTATGATTGCAGGAAGCTTATAGCTGAAACTCACCGTATGTTTTTGGAGAAGTGTCATCCTTGTTGTTTGGCAATGGAACTCGAAAATTTGAAATTAGGCAGGCAGTGGTCGGAAGAAAAGATATTATAGGATAGTGTATAGTTTAAAACATGATGAGGTGGAGGGACACTAAGAATTAGATCCAGCTAACTATTAAGTCCTTGAATGCATTGTCAGTCAATGTATATTTACGTTATTTACAGGTCATATTTGCTAGGGATTGATGCTTAAACAAGTCTATGTCACTGAAGCATGTAACGCTATTAAAGCTTGTTAACGAACCATCAAAGCTAATTAGTTAATAAAGACGACCAGTTTTTATTATCAATTGAGCTAGTTTGTCATGAGGACTAATCAATATAACATTACAATGATTCATGTGAGCATTAATCAGAGGACTATTAGAAAACAGGGTTAACATAAATATAAAATCGATCGAGAAAGTTGAAGTGGAAATAAGGATTAATAATAATAGGTTGCGTTTCTTTAGTTGGGCTCACCAATGTAGAACTATGGTCTACTATGATATTAGTACTGCTCTAATAATAGACCTAATCCCAAAATTGTAGATTCGTCATGATATAACTGCCTAATCTATAAGATCTTACGTGGAAGTCACACCATCGACTACACCAACTCACTGTATCGTATCAATTACCAATACATGATGTAGAACAAGGTTAGGCTAGAGAAGGAACAATATATTTAATATTAATAGAAGATATAAGGTAACATTCAGATGAACCACGCCTGCATGATCGAGCCATGCCATCCGATCAACTCCAGTCCATTTAATTCATTGTTCGCGCTTACTCCATTGTTAGGTATTTCTCCGCGTTAAATGTTGAATATCTATTTCCTGAGTAGTCTCGTGTTCACAGCTTTGTGGATTGTGTGGCTATTGTCCAATGCCACTACACTACTCTCCCACCAGAATCAACGTGATGTTGGTTCGATACCAAATTGGATGGGATCGTCGCGCGCCGGAGGTTACCAAGGATAATAAGAATCCTCCGGGTATTGGTAAGCTGAAAGATAAATGAAAAAGAAGGCGGCAGCATCTGGTCGGGAAATACATGTAATAATTTTAAAATATCTGCCTTCATGCTTAAAACGCTTGAAATGAAAATTTGGGTGAAGATTATTTGAGCTATAAAGAATGGGGTTACAATAATAAAAATAATAATAATGAAACGATGCGTGTTAATAGCCGTTGGTTAATAACTTAACGTATAGGTAGTAAGTATTTTGT